AATTTAATTATTATTATTGTATATTATTACTATTTCTAACTTATATTTTATTATTATTTTTTTATTTATTGTTATTATCTTATTTCCTTATTATTTTTTTTTTTTAATTAATTAATTATTTTATCTTGGTGAAGGGGGTGGAGTAAAGGGTGTCTCTTCATAATTTCGTATGTAGTCATTTCTATTGGGTGCCCTATATCTAACTATTCTGCCGGGAAATTCCATGACTTCTGTGGACCTGATATATTTGCATTTTATCATTATGTAAATTGCTATTATTAGTATAATAGATATTACTGCCAGTACTATTGTTACATATAGTAAATTACTGTGTACAAATTGATGCTTTTGATTTTGTTCTCTTGAAAGTTCTTGGTTAATCATTTGTTGTACTTCGTCTAAAGATTTGGATGCATCGTGTAAATCTGTGAATTGCATAGCTAGTCCCTTTTCCCATTTTTCATTTGTTTCGAATTTGTGTATATGTTCGGGTATTTTTTCTAAAATATTACTCATGTTAGTTACAGGTGTAAAGTCTTTATATTTTGTAATTTGAATTTCTTCCGTGGCAGTTAATACTGCGTCCCGTGCAAATACTTGACAACTAATGTCGTTTATAGATATTTCTCCTGCTTCATTTGTTTGTATTATAAATGAGTCTATTAAGTTCGCGCAACTTACAGTTAAAGTCTCTTTTCCTGCGTGAATCCATGTATTTTTTCTTTTTAATTTTTGGTATATGCTTCTTTTTAAATTTATTTTCTTTACTGTACATAACTCAGGATTAGCATACGTGTCAGCTTTTATAAAGTTTTGTACTTCGCATGGTTGGCGTTCATTGTTGTCCTGTATAGGTTGTGGTGTATTACATATTTTGTATATTGATGTTTCTTTACATTCGTTTAATTGTTGATCTGTGTATGTAGTAAACCTTTTATAGCCTTTGGTTACAGCAATATTATTATAAGTAATGTCCATCATGTACCATCCACTAGAATTATCTTGGTTATGACGCATTGGTACTGGTGTTAATCTGTATAATGTAAGTTCAGTGTCAATAATCAGTGGTATTACTATATCGAATACTAATCTGTCGTTTGAATAGTAGATTTTTATTTTTGTAATTTTTTGAAATTCATTTATTTCATATCTCTTTGTTCCCATCGGAATACTGTATATTTTCTTTATATTTTGTTCTATTGCTTTTAATGTTGATGCTAGTTCTTGCGGTGTCATAAGACTTGGATGTATCATACCTTCTCTAGCGGCAGTTACAATTTGTCCCAATATTTCTGTTTCGTAGGAATATTGATTAATAATTATTGTATATAAATTATGTATTTCATTTTTTATTAGTAAGTCTAATATATCATTTGTTTTGTTTTGTATTTTTGACATTTTTTCGTTTAGTTTTTGTTCCTTTTCCGTAATATTATTGTATAATTGTTCGGTTTGATTTATTGTGTTACCAATACTTCTTATTGTTGATTTTACTACAGTAGTTTGAGCTGCCATTATGTGTAATATATTAGTTCCTGATTCTTCCGTTTTTTGTATAGCTTCTTGTGTTTTCTTAGTGCACTTGTCATCACATATGCCAAATAACGTATGCATGGTGTTACCTATTATGTTTATTAATCCCCTTTTCTTTCTGTTGTTTTTAATGTCATCCATAGTACTTCCTAGCGACATATATGTACGTTCTTTCTGTTTAGTTATTTCGTTATATAAGTCTGTAATTACTAATTGATATTTCCCACATAAATCTTGATGTTTTTGGTCAGTACATAAATTTGTTATATTTTTAATTTTTTCCCCCAATAGTTCATATTTCGTGTTATATTCCTTTAATGAGTAAAACATTACAAGATTGTATTGAGCCCCTATTAATCTAACTGGCCCCAACCCTTCATATTGTATACCCCTGCCAACTCCGTAAGGCGTATAAGAGAAGTACTCTGATGTATTTATTTCGTCAGAGTCGACAATATTGACTAGAAAACTTGTCACCATCACCAATCTAAAAGTACAAAGTATATTTATATTAAACTAACTATCTTATTATAATTTTATAAAATTAATACCATCTTACATAATCTAAAATATCTCTAGCATCATGTAAGAGTTTCATATAGTCTATTAACCGTTTACACAAAGTATTTGTGGATGTTACCGAATCTGATGACAAGTCGTACATAATTAGTGTTATAATTTGCGTAATTTTTGTTATTTCGAGAGTACCAAATGGTTCCTCCATAAAATTATTTGCTGTATTAATATGTCCTATTAGACACCTCGGTGTGTGTTCCGGTCCTAAAGTATATGTTTCGTGTATTTCTTGTTCGATTGCCATTTTTAGTTCCTCAATGAATTTCCTTTGTCTGTCCCTAAAATTAAAATTTATATTTTTTTTTTTGATTAGATTTACTATTTAAGAAAACATGGAACCTGATGAAACCCGAACTCGGATATATGTCATTCGAAACCGTGCGTATATATTTTTTTTTGTTTTGATTAAGGATTTATTTAATTATTTTTTTTTTAAAATTATTTTATTAGCTCGAGGGCCGGACATTATTATGGAGATTGAATGGCCGGAGTGGTTTACCCCTCCGCCGCAACATATTGTATCGAGAATTCTTATATCGGACGATGAAGAAGATGAATCCGATTGATTAATTTAAAGGATAAATTGTTTATTAAACTGAATGACGTTAATTACATATATAATTAATTTTTTTATCTTTATCTGAATCCGTTTTATTACATTAGTTTATTAATTTTTCTGAGAATAAATTTTAATATATGTTCGGTTTCTATTCCTAAAATTAATTTAATTATTCTAACTTAATATTTGCTATATACTTATTATTATTATTTTTTTTTATTATTGCTATTTTTTTTTTAATCGACTTGAGCGTCGTTATAATATTTTTTTACGTTATTTCTATGTACAGTGATGACCTTGCGGCCTCGCTGTATAGCTACATTCTCGTTCCCTATGACTGCTGTGACCTCGTACGGTCCTAGCCAAATTGGATCGAGTTTCGTTCTATGATTATTATCTTTTAATAATATTAAATCATTAACGTGTAGTTCTTGTGGGTTTTCATTTTTATCATAACGTTCTTTACTTTTTATTTTATTTTTAATTAAATGATCTCTAGCTATTTTATGCGAAATTTGCATATTTTCTTTTAGATCGAATATATAATCATCATAATTGTAACGTGGTTCAGGTTTGGCCTTCGAGTTAATCGGTACCTCCAATGTACATCTATGAACTAATGCGTATGTTTGAAAATTAGTAGAAATATGTATACCGTCGAATTATATACAAAGAATGTAAAGGGTAGTAAATGATCCCAATTATTTAAATTCTTATCTACATAATGTCTTAAGTACTCGGCCAAAGTCCTATGAGCGCGTTCTACGGGGTTACCCTGCGGTCTGAATGGACTTGTGTTAACCTTTCTATTTTTAATATTTTACAAGCATTTGCAAACGTTTTCAAGAGGAAATTAGTTCCTTGATCCGTGAGTATTGTTTCTGGTATGCCGTGTACACAACGAAGTGTGTAACAAAGGCTTCCGCAACAGTATTTGCCTTCTGGTCAGGAAGTGGAATTCCTAAGTGTAACGTGTCAAATCGTCCTCCATCGTTAAAATGTATACATTATTGGACAGTGTAATCGGCAAGGGCCCTACTATATCCATAAATATTTTTTCGAATGGTTTAGACGAGGTGGATGTAATAGCCACTGGTTGTTTTATGTGCCGATTTGATACCTTATTAACCTGACATAACGTACGATTCCTTATATATTATTTAACATTTTTTTTTTTTTTATACCCTTCCATAAGAATTGTTTTTTTTAATGCGCTTAATGGTTTTATTCACACCTAAATGTTCGCCTAGTTTTGAGTCGTGAAATTGTGATAAAATGACTGCTTTTTCTTCTTCACTATATTCTACATTCGCACATGTAATTATTGCATTTTTTTTTTTTTTTTTCGAGAAATTTTTCATATGATTCCGAGATATTCAACATGCTAACTATTGCCCTACCATTATTAACGATTGATACTGTACTACTGCAATATACGTTTTTTACTAGTTCTTGCTTATGTATAAATATTTCTTTGCTTTCTATGAGTGGGTCAGCTATCTGTATTCCTACAATAGTTTCAGTCCGCGGATTTAATTTAATAAAACTGGTTTTGTCGGTCTCCTTGAAATTTGTTAGCGCATGCGAGGTCGTTTGAATAATTAATTTGTTGTTTGCTACATCGACTATTGCGTTATTTTTCGACAAGAACTCGTTTCCTAATATTCCGTCCTTGGGTATTGGAAATCGTGCACTTACGATATGAAATTCTGTTTTAATGTTTTCGCTATTTAATTTAATTAATATTGATATTTTCCCTATGGTTTTTGTAAGACATTCATTTATACCGCGTAGATTTATTTTTTGCGTTTCGTCTACTTCTAGTTCTTCGCGTAAGCAATTTATTTTGAGAATATTTACCTGACTACCTGTATCTATCATTAAATGTAATTGTTTTGTTTTTGCGGCATTAGAATCGAATGTTATATGATTATTTTCTAGTTTTGCGAATATGTGAAATATTCGTTCGTCGGTTGTTCCGCGATAATCTGGTTTATCGTACGAGTACCGCGCCTCTCGTTCGACACGTTTTCGTTTTCCGAATTATTAACGTTCCTACTCTCATCGTTTCTCTTTTTATAACACGAGTCGATATTATGACCAGTTCGATTACAGTATGAACACGTAACTACCTGTATATTATAATTCGTAAGTGGTTGCGTAAAATTATTCCTATCAGGTGGACGGTTGTTATTGCCATTGCTCGCATAACTAGGTCTCGTATTATTCCTACATTGAGATGCAAAATGATTACCATTACAATTATAGCATTTTATTGCTGGCCTATTGATTGGTTGAGAAAAATTGTTTGCTCGCGGATGATTATTTGTCCTTACAGGGTTATTTGGTCTAATGTTTTCGTTGTTCCTATTTTCGTAATTCGATCTGCGCTGGTTATAATTTTGGAATGAATATTCGAATAATGGTTTCTATTTTCCTGTTCTAATCTTAGTTCTACTTGTTCTGACATGGCGATTTGTTTCGCGATTTCCAGAGTTTTAGCATTGCGAGATTTTACTATTGTTCTAATCGGTTCTACTAATCCTTTAATAAATATCGCTAGAGTTTGTTCCCTTAATATATCATATATAATTTTTGCTTCTGCAGGTTCTTTGCCTAATGTACTTACGGCACATAACTGATAATATAGTTTCTCTACTCTATGGCAATAATCGTTTACATCCTCATCGTGGTTCATTCTAATCGAATTTAATTGAAGTTGTAACGGCGATGCCGTAGTTGTTACCTCAAATGCATCTGTTAAATAATTTTTTATAAACTGCCATTTCGATACATTTTTGTATTTAATCATTTCTAATGCTCTACCCGTTAAACGTGTGGTAATATATTTTACTAGCGTTGGTGCACTGTTTGTGTCGACTAAACTTACTGCCATATCGCATGCATTTATGAATGGATAGATATCGTCTATTCCTGTGCATAGTGGAATTAATTTAAAAGCGTTTTCTAATTTTATGGTTACTGTCATTTTTTTTTTTTTAGTGCGTGTTATAGGTAAAAATACTAATGACTGGTGTTCAAAACTATCTGTAACTTGGCTACGTGTGATTACTCCTGGACTTGGGTTTCTACTTGCGCTATCTCCTAACTGGGTATCTACTATAATATTCAACTGGGCTTTAAACTGGGCTTGGGCTTCTCTGGGCTAATAACTGGGCTTCTAACTGGGCTTCTTCTACTACACTAGTGTCATACAATGAATTAGCTACGTTCAAGGGAGATGTATCTTCTTTGTCCATAAATTAACTTAACCACCTATTTAATACGTTAATAATCATAATAATACTCAATAAAATTCAATAATGCCCTATAAATACAATAATAACTTCAATAATATGCCCTCTAATAAATTCAATAAACTTCAATAATACTTCAATAATAAAAATGCCCTCAATAAATCAATAAACTTCAATAATAATCAATAATAACTTCAATAAAAATATGCCCTCAATAATAAAACTTCAAATAATCAATATGCCCTCAATAATTCAATAAACTTCAATAATAATCAATAAAATATGCCCTCAATAAAATTTAAAACGGTTTACACCATTACACTTATAATCAACTACCTAGATTTATCTTAATATGTCTTAATTATGTTGCATACGTCTATGTAACAAATTTAAATAACTATTCACTCACAATAATGCTGCGTTCATGGCTGATGATGACATGTTGCCGTTGATGATGCTGCTAATGGATTTGTTGGTACTGCAATGTGACTTATTTGTTTTTGATGGTTCTTCTTGGAGTTGTCTTCTCGGAAGAGTGTACAGTTCTTCTTTGTTGACGGTAGCCTTTGATGGCTGCCTCCCTTTGTAGAATCCTTTATCGACTGCGCCAGTGTTACATGCGGCCCTTCAGGGATCCAAAAGCTTGTTGCACTTTTACAATAAAATGTAGTCAATTTTAAATATAAATCAATTGTAATTTATTAAAACCAATAATAATTAATATAGTCGTGGTGAATTGCAGCGTCGTGAGTTGACTCGTTGTAGTAGTCGATAATCTCCATGTAAGTCGTGTGAAATGGCTGGTGGCTAAACGGCTCGCTCGGTCTTGGCGGCTCTGGTACATCTACTTTGGCTGTCTCGCTGTCCCCTATATATATGGTGGCGGCGTCCTTTGAAAGTGAGCGGCGCGTGTATAGTCGTCCTTGATATGGACCTCACGTATATGAAAGTGGTATTCGTAGTCGAAAACACTTTTGGGTGTGGTCGCATTCCTGGTTGTTATTATGAGCAAATATATGAGATTGCGTAATCCCATTACAACTGGATCTGGAAAAGATAATGAAACAAAAGAAGCCAATTACAAGTTACAAAGTTTAAAAATCATGGCCTTTTTGTTAGGTAGTATATAAATATTTTTAAAAAAATGTAATGTTATGCGCTGAGTGAAATATATTATTATTATACTTGGTTTATTAGAGTTATGCAGACTTAAATTCAGCTGTACAGATTGTGAGTTTGAAAAAAATATTAAAGATTGGTTCAGACATGGATATCAAAGATACAAAAGAGACCTTGAAAAAAACACTGTGCAATCTTAATGTTATTTTCCTACATTCGCCGATACTCAAATAATTAAAATATATTTTAAAAGTAATATAATAGAGCTATTATTTTAATATTAACCATCATTCCTATAATAATTGATAATGTTGCAGAGTAAAATTCAACGAAAAAAACGTACCACAATATCAACAATGTCAACTAGAAATTTCAAAAGATTAGTTTCGACGGAAATCAGTCGTTCAAATCCTCATAGTACATCAAATTTAACAATCAATACAGCTTGGCCAAGTGAATCTTCTACCTTCAACACAAAACATTTACCGGTAATGACTGATTTGAAAAAAAAACTGTCTATTAAACAGTAGTAATAATAATTTGAATGATAAATGTAATACTGTTATACCGCCCACGCCATCCAATTTAATAAATCAATCGACAAATAATATTTATGTGAACAAAGAAATTTGTTTCCAACCAAATGACTTACCACCAAAGTTATATTCTGCAGATTCATTTAGAGATAATTTACTGTTAAGTACTATGGATACTGGAATCGTTAAACCACCTGCAACTCTCAATCAAAAATTGTGTAAGCTTTCTATGGATTACAATATCTCTCATAACGCAATGAATGAAATTCTTTCATTATTTAGATCTGAGGGTCATAGTAATGTTCCAAAAGATGTTAGAACGCTTCTAAAAACTCCAACAACCCACGATATAATTAATATAAAACCTGGTTTCTACATTCATATCGGAATAGAATTTATGTTACGTCCAGTATTAAAAATGTATGAACATTATTTCAATGCTAATTTAAATAATATAAAACTTGGTTTTAATATTGACGGATTGCCTATATCTAAATGTTCAAAGAGTGCTTTTTGGCCTATTTTAATGTCTATTATAAATATACCAATTTTAATTAATAAAGTATTCACTGTTGGAATTTATCATAGTGACTCAAAAAAACCTTATGATGTCACAGAGTTTTTAAATCCTTTTATTGAAGAAATGTTAATTATTTTACAAAATGGCATTATTATCGATAAAAACATTTTTAGATTTTCAATTAGTCAAATAATATGCGATGCACCGGCTAAGGCCTATATTCTTAATGTAAAAGGTCACATGGCTTATTTTGGGTGCAATATGTGTATTGAGGAAGGTGATTTTATTAAGGGAATGACATTTCCTGGTGTAAATGCTCCACGGAGGACAAACGAAAGTTTTCGTAGTAAGACCAATGAGGATTACCATAAAGGACCATCTCCCCTAGAACGTCTACCTATTGACATAATTTCTGTGGTTAGTCTTGACTATATGCATGTGGTATGTCTTGGTGTAGTTAAAAGGTTGATAAGGTTTTGGGTAAATGCAAAAAAAATGGTGAGAATTCCTGAAGAAAAATTAAATTTATTAGATATGAATATAGAAAACGTAAGAAAATATTATCCATCAGATTTTTCTAGATTACCTAGATCTTTTCAAGAATTTGAAAACTTTAAGGCCACAGAGCTTCGTGCTCTACTTCTTTATACTGGGCCATTTCTCTTGAAAGGTATTTTAAAAAAAAACCAGTATAATCATTTTATGCTATTGCATAGTTCAATACGCTTATTGGTGGCTCAGGAGACTCATATACTATATAATGATGAGGCTACATCTCTAATAAAACAATTTATTAGTGATTATATCATAATTTATGGTCCAGAGTATATATCATACAATGTGCATAATTTAATACATTTGCCAGAGTGTGCTAAAATGCATGGGCCTCTGGATAAGTTTAGTGTTTTTAAATATGAAAACCACCTGCAGGAAATAAAAAAAAAAAATAAAAAAACAAGATTCCCATTACAAGAAGCATATAATAGGATAATTGAAAAACACCATCTATCAAGTAATTGCAGTGCATTTGGTATTGATACATCTTCTGCAGTATCCCCGGTTTTTAAATATGAAATTTATTATGATGTTTATAAGCAATCTATAATCAATCCCACAGTAAAAATGTTTAAACAATTGAGTATTAATAATTTTTTACTTAATTCTGATAAAATTAAAGATCAATATGTAATGATATCTGGTAATAAAATTGCTAGGATATTACAAATTATTAAAAATGAAGATAATAGTATTACATTGAATGTTTGTATATTTAACAACATGTCACTTTTTTATAATGACCCATTACCATCAAATGTTTTAGGTTTATTTTATGTGAATACATCAAGTGTATCAAGAAATATCTATATACCCTTTTCTTCCGTTCTTTATAAATGTTTTTTTATAAAAATATCAGAAAATAAAGCAATAATTATGTCAATGATACATTCACATTCATCGGAGCATTCATCAGAACTATAATAAATGTTAATATACCTACTAAAATGACTGTATATGTTATTATTATTATTATTAAATTATTAAGATTTTGCTCAACAAATTGATACTTATTTTTATTTTTTTATGACTTATAAAAGCAGCAACTAGTATACTAAAAAGATTTTATAGTAACTGTATAACTTTGATAATTCGAACAAACTACATAATATATAAATGTATTCTAATTATAAATACCTACTCTATAATGTAGCTGTTTTTTTCAATTTTAAAATTTTTTAATTTGCTATATATTTGGTGACACTAATGTACATAATTTTATTATTAAGTGGATTTGATTATTTATGTGAGATAACATTTTGAATAAATAGTTTTATTTTATTTTGTTAATATCTAGTATAGTATAAAATGATTTTGTTTTTTAAACATGTACAAATTATATTTCAATAATTATTTATTATAATTATTTATATAATGTTATTAAGTTTTGATTATTTATGTATGTCGTATGGGAGATAACATTTTGGCATTTTGCACATAAGTTTTGTTTCAATCCACCTGTATAAATCATTTTATTATTATTATTACTAGATTCTGGTGTTTGTCATCCCCTGCGGCGGAAAGACTGTGTGGGCGGTGGTGCATCTTTGTCGTAGCTGCCCGTGTGCCTCGATTCCGGGCGTTGGGGAAGCCTTCGAGGTGGTCGAGTGAAAATCGTTTCACGGGAGATTCGAAAAGTAATTAAACCGTACCGAAAACTGTGACTGAGTGTCTAGCGGTCTCTTCTCGACTGTTGTAATACCGTGCCCCGGTGTATGCCCGGTTCTGTTTTGTTGACTGTATAAGAAATTAGGAATTTCGAATAATTGTAATCGAATGTCTAGCTATCAATCATCGTTGTATGCAAATCCATGAGTTATAGGGCATATGTGTATGGCGGATTGGATACATGACCCGTATCATGCCCTGTTCTTTTGTGCGTGTAAAAAGGATAAATGCATAAAGAAAACGGTAATTGTGTGTCTAGCTTTCAGTCCCCAACCAGTACAAATTTGTGCGTTTACTGGGCATACCTCCTAACATCGATAGTCAGAAAACGTAT